TAAATAAATTATTTTATTTTATGTTAAATATTCCAAGGGGAATTTATGTTTGTAAAGGTGACATTTTGTTGCAATTCCGTAGACCTGTTTACCACATCCCAGTATTACCATGTGTTACTATATGTGTCTGTTTTGAATTGAGATGTTTAGGGTGCACTAGTTTGCAATTTTTTTTATATTTCTGCTTTTATTAATAAAAGAGCACATTAAATAAAAGTTTACTTTGAACAAAATTCAGTCAGTACATGCTTAAACATCTCTCAAGTTAGATATCGATTGCATGATATAAATACACACACACTATAAACTCATACTCACTACACAAAGTACGCAAACATAAATTTGCATTCCTCAACATAAAATGCAGCAATTAATGACAGAACTCAAGAAATGGCCACAAATCTCATGCATTGGGGGCAATCAAATCGCTTGAGGGCGACCGGCAACAACAATTGATACATAAAATATCTTTGAGCTATTGTTGCGCAATTTGGAGACATTTTGTTATATTGTCATTAAGTGTAAATAATTGGCATAATTTGTGCAGAGCAAAACGTAATTATAATGCAGTTATTGAAGCATGTAAATCTTATAGGAATTCTTTCTACTTAATTAGTTTTAATGACTCGGCCCCGCCCCCTGCGCTCAAACAAAAAGGGCATAACTAACAATTAAGCTCGCATTGCTTAACCGCAAAATGCATATGAGCATAACATATGTATGTGTGTGTGTGTGTACATGCACATATATGTATATGTATATCAACTCGAGCAGAGACATGTATTTGTTAGCAAGTATGTCGCATAAATCTTAATTACGCTTCGTCGAGCGTAAATCATCATCAGCCGCAGAGTTTTGCTGGCGAAATTGATTCATGCACAGCAATTTCGCCAGCAAACTCTTTGGAGGGAATCTTCTTCCAAGTAACTTTGACAATTTGGCGGCATTTCTTAAATTTTTTTATGACCCACAGACAGAGTGACGACTGTGGAGCCTTCGAAGCATATTCTTAACCCATTAGCTGGCATGGAATTTCTCTCTCTCTCTCTCTCTCACTTACCATTGATAATGCGCCATTATCCATTAGCATGTTATGGCTGATAATTGTTGACAGTAAATCAAGTGCCAAACACGGAGAACACTAATAAGGAAGGCATATGAGGTGACGATAATGCCTAGAAGTGGGCTGAATGAAAAACACAATTTATGGCTCTAGCGGTTTGTACAGGTGGCATAAATCAGAAATAAAATGGATGGAGGTGATTAAAGGAAATGCCGGCTGTACTTGGGAATTTCTACATATAGAAGTAATAAAAGAGCAGAATAGAGAGAGTATTGTGTTGAAAATGGGGAAAGAATATTTTTATTATATA